ATGCCATCTGTGTGGTAACAAATTTAGAAAAATGAGTAGTATCTTGGCAGTCTTAGCAAAATGTGCTCAGGGTGCAGAGGAGGGTGGTGGGGGGTTCCTACCAAATAGGGCATTCAGTATCTGAGTCAGAGGTGATGACAGCATCTAAGCAGGGGGCTGTTTTCTAAGAAATTATGCCTTTAATTGTGTAGAGCCTGACACAAGTGTGCTGCAGTTCAGCTGAAGCCATCCTCTTGAGTCCTGCTGACGGCCTTGTCAGTGCAGAGCCTCCAGGTCTGCAGCTCTCCTGTCCTCTGCACCTTCCCAAAAGTACTGCAAGAAGCTACTTAATATACATGACTCTACAAGAACATCCCAAAACTAGTCTGTTCAAAACCAGCAGCCATTTTATGAATGACCAATGTGAATGATCCTATCTGTAAAATACAGGTAATCCTGCCTCTTTATTTCCCAATGCAAGTGCAGATCACTGACATTTGAGAAGTGTCTTGAAAATCACAGGAGATGATAACATCAATAACAGCACGCCATGAGATGCAATATTATTACAATAATAATGGCACTCATTTCAGACTCCTGCATTTTTCAGGTCATCAACCAAAAACATTAGCAAAATAGCCCTTCAGGAGATGAAAAATCTTTGCAGTGTAATGCAAGCTGCTTCATTCAATTTATTTATTCTCCCCTACACTGTGCAAGTGCCTGCTACCGTCCCTCCAGCTACCAAGGGAATTGTGAGTGCCCTTCTCACATAAAAAGATTAGACCCTCTGATGAAACTAAAGGGAAATCTAAGAGCAGCTGACCACATTCTTACATTCCTGCAGTCTTGCACTTTTTCTATTTTTTTTTCCTTTTAAGTCTTGACCTGCAATCCTCATCAATGATGTCAACACCGAAACCACAGGGACAAGCCATGCAGATCAGACTGAAACCTAAAGGAAATTAGCTCAGCTAAGCTACTGCAGGCCCAGCAGGACATCTAGTGCCTCCCTTCAGGGGAAAAGCAAGGAGATAGCTGAGCAGCTTTCAGCCGCCCTCATTCCCAAGCCAGGAGTGGTAAGAGCAGCATACAAGAGCTCTGCATGGCTCTGCTCTGGTGAAAGGCAAACGCTGCCTACTTTGCAAACTGACTTCTCTGGTTGTTGAGAGAGATGAGAGTTCCCCAGCAAGAGCCTTCCACATCTTCTAGGGCAGAAAGAATTTTGCTTTGATCTTGAGAAAAGCTGCTGAGACCTGTGAACATTTCTCCCACCTCTTCTGCTCTGCCTGCTGGTTTTGTCATTTTGCCTCATTATCCCATCCCTCCTTCCCTTCCTCCGGATTAAGAGTAGCAGACAATGGTTGGGGATAGACAAGGATCCAAAAAGCAAAAGGAAAGCCTTGCTCTTGCCTTTAGGGCAAAAAATCAAAGAGCTTTGTGTATGTGTACCTACATGCAATGTACTTCCTACTGCTCCTACTTGGACTTCCCTCTCCCCCCCAGCCCTTTTCAACATTTCAGGTTCAAGTCTATGGAAAAGAATGCTCCAAACTTCAAAGTTAAATGCAAAGGTGGCACTGACAGCACAAAGTTCTGTGAACATACATGCAAAAACCTGATCCTCTCTTCTTCCGCCCCTTGCTTTCAATCCAGGATGCTTCCTTGGTGGGAAGCATCAACAGGAAATTCAAGAGAGCACACCAAAAGCTATTTTTTCCCCTTTTTCCTTTAGGGTGCTTTTAATATACTAAACTGTGTTAACACTAAAAAAACAAAGGCAACTCTTACAGGAATAGGGGGCCACTTTTCCTATTGCTCACAGAGAACCCTGGCTGTTGGAATGGATGATATGTTAATTTTGTGGCACAGTCACTCAAGAGAGGGCATAGGAGTCTCCCATGGTAAAGTGCACACAATTTACAATAGGCATGGTTAAAATTTAATTAATTATTACAGGCCTTGCAAAGATGTTTTTCCAAAGCAAGCATGCTGCAAAATACATTTTTTTTTTCTAATTGCATCAGAAAAACTTCAGTTCATAAAGCACATTTTCTGAGCTGTTACGACAACAGCTGCTTGGATGTTTGAAGGAGGAGCTGGCAAAATTTAAAAAAATAAAAAAGAAAAACCTAAAATAGGCCTCAGAGATTTAACATCTTATAAAATAGCTCCCTACAAGCTCTTTAAATGTCCTTTACTTCAAGCAATACTCCCAAGATTGCAAAGAGTTTCAGGGCAATACTTGCAGCAAGAACTCCTTGTGTTCCCTCTGCTTAGGGGGCTCCACAAACACACTGTAAGATTTATGCCTTTTCCTTTCAAAATAACCTCATGTAGTCATCTGCAAAAATTAATTTATATAAGTGTACAGAAGAAAGGAACATGTTAGCTCAGGCTGTTGGGTTTTTGATGGTTTTTGGGGTTTTTTTTTGGGTGTTTTTTTTTTTTTTTGGTTTGTTTTTTGGGGTTTTTTTTCAGGTTTTCTTTGGTGGGAGTGGGCTGGGGGAGCAGTCACTAATATCTACCATAAATCTGCTCACTCACAGCCTCAGCTCACACACTAACACCACCTCTGTCTCACACACACTTTCCTTCCCATCTTTCCCTCTCTCCCTCCCTACAGCCTCACAGGAATGAGTTTTGAGTTGGCTGTGCAGTGTTGCTGATTAAAATTTGCCGGTAGTGAGACAACTTATTATAGAGCCTACAAGGGGACTGTGCATTTATGAATTCAATAATTAATCAATGCATAATAAGCACACACTGCGCATACCACTTTTCTTTCCATGCACAGACAGCTTCAATCACCGTGCAGGTTTCACTGTCACGACAATCTTCATCTCCCAGCAGCTGCTCCCCCACCCTGCAGCATTAGCAAAGACAAGCTCACTGTGTTAGAGCCTGCATTCATGCAAACCCACCCAAATACTGCTAGATTGATTCATTTTGAAGGTAGAGGTTTTCAGAAGAAAATGCTATAGTTAGTGCCACAACTACTAGGCTGTCACAATTTTCCTTTTAAACTACTTTCTTCAGAGGCTCAGCTGTAAAGTGTACTCGGAGCTGTGAGCTGACAGACTGGTTTGCATCTTAAGAACATATTTCATTTTAATGGCTTTATTTTTAAATTGTTTCAACTCTTTGAATTAATGGAGACTTAAAAAAAGAAACGAGACTGACAAAAATGCAAAGTAGAATATTTTCTCCTTTTTTACCTGTCTTTTAACATCAGGCTATATTTATTTTCAAGAAGCTCAATAGTAACCAATAACAGGACTGCAGATCTTTTCCCCCCTTCAGCACCACTTTGTGCTGCCCAAATGGAACAGAGATATTTTGCTACAGAGATGAGCTTCCCTGCTAACTCTGCTAAGCCATTTGAGCCTGCACTGATGATGCCTGGAGGTGAGTAATCACCAGACATTTTCATTGCAGTGCCAGGGGCACAGAAGACAATTGTGTGCCCTCCCTGACCCAAGGGCCGAAGTTTTTTTGCAGACTTGCTACATGTAGGGACTGACCAGAAGATTGCAGAGCTCTGCATTTGGCTCAGGAGCTGTAGCCTAGAGGACACTAATAAATATATATATATATAAAAAATATTAATACTTTGTACTCTGTAACAGGCCACAAAGGGGATGACACGGCTTTATTCTGCCAATATGCAGAGGATTAAGGGTTTCTGCTTGAAGCCACTAACAACCTGAACAGGAGAATTACAGTAATTCCACTAAAACCACACAGAATTCAAGGGACTGGCTGATGGCACATTGTTACCCTTCCCACTTCTCTCGAAAATGTAGCTGGCACAACCCTATAAACAAGAATTCGACCAGCTAGCCAAGGAGGTCCCATTAAAGAATGGTCTTAGAGGAGCCATGTGCAGCAGTGGGGACATTTGTCATGAGACTCCTCAACATTTTGAGACCTAAATACTCAACATGGAGCAGTTTCTAAAGGGAAGTCAAAAATAGCAGTTAGCATGTGAAACACAGCTGAAACTTGTGCTGCTCACACCAGTCCATTTTAGTGCAAAGCATTTCACAGCAAACAACAGCAAGATGCTCCATTAAAACCCTGCACTGCTTTAAGCCATGAGGTCACTGTTAGGACCCAAACACATGTTGTCATGACATCAATTAGCAACACTTTGCCTATGCCAATGCCACTATTAATACCTTGAAATACTAATCTCTATTACTAATTAACAGTCAAATGCACTAAATAATTTTTCATGCATTAGGAATGTATTACTGAATTCAATTACATGTCAAGAGCTGTGACTTATGAATCCTTCCTACAACACCATTTGTGCCAGAAAACAGCCTTAAAAATTCAGCAACATTTAAAAGGCTTTTCATGACTAAGATACCTCTGTGTTGGAATAAACTGTTAGGCCCTGGCTTTGCAAGCAAGACAGGAGTCTGTCTACATGTCTGACTGTATCTCAGTTACCATTTCCAAATGCAGCAGCCACACTTAACAGCTACAGTTATTATACAGAAATTCAGCAATTCATCAATGAGAATACCAATGCTTGACTAGAAATTCAGATCTCCCCTAAAACGAAGCCTGGCAACACAAGGAAGGATGCAGATCCCTCTTTGTGTTTTGAAAACTGTAAATGCTACTCTGAACACAAAACATTGATTGTTTCAAGGAGATTACTGGCCTTTTGTTTGAACACAGCACAAGAACTAGTGAATATGCATTTTGAGAAAGATTGCACTTTTACATTCATTTAGAGCCTTGATATTTAGGTATTTCAAAGAGAAAACTGGGATGCAGTGAGAATCAAGATGACTGATGAGCAGTACTTACAGGAAATGTTATTTATATTGCGTGATGCTAAACCAACTCGGTTAAACCCACAGTTTAGCAATGATAGCTGTAATTCTGCGCACACACATCCAGACTAAGCACCTGCATTTTCTCATGCAAACACACACATAAACCGGTGTGTACACTCCGGATTAAAAAACCGACAGTCAGCAAACAAAGAATATTAAGCACCATACCTTTGAGTCATAATCTTATAGGCATCTGGCAGATAACAGCGGATATTCTCCATCTGAGCAGGATCAGAGTCACAGATTTTATCATCAGTCCTGCCGTAGTTGGCACTTTCAATCATGATAACATCTGTTCCGGGGCAGCGCAGCTCGATGGGGTAACTCTCGCAGGACAGCTCCCTTCGGACCACAGCCATGGGCACTGGGGCACGGCTGAAAGCTGCAAGGATTAACACACAAACACAGTCAACACTGGCTTTCCACACTGAGGCTAAAATTAAAAGCAGAATCACGTTCAGCAGAAAGCTTTACCCATATGCTGTGCTGAGATAGTTTCGGTACCATTCAGATAAGATCTGCAGAAACGGGGTCTGGTCGCTGGCTTGCTGGCTGCCCAGAAAAATCACTTCTCCACTCAGTGACTTGATTTTCTCATTTTAAAAACAAGCTATAGATACATTTTATATAGGGCTTTAGAAACCCCTTATTGAAACATAGCAACTATGGCATTGTTATTATTTCTACTTACCAGGTGAAAAACTAGCTGGTTTTGATATAAATACAATTACAGTCCTGTGTTGTACTTCAACAAGCAAAGAAAATTTCATGATAACAAGCAACCCAAGAACCAGGATCCCACCTGCTCAGCAAGATTGCACCTGTCCTACAGCAGATGTAATAACATTTGTATTGCTCCTGGTCCTTTTCTTAGCCCTTAGAAAAAGTGATCCTAATGGCTTTTGCTGTAGCCTGAAGCATGCCAGGGGATGGCCTGCAGGTAGGTTCTGGCAGCCATCCCAAAGTTTGGGCCCTGAAGTGATACTTTCCATGGAAAGGCCAATTTATGGGACACCAGATGATTTAAGTTCAGTCTTAGCCTTGCATTGGATCTGCCTAGATGGTCAAATAGCTGGCAAACGCTTGTGAAATTAAAGAGCTCTCAGAAATCTTACCTGTTTTAAAAGAAATCCAGGCTACAGTTTGCAGAAGAAAAAAAAAAAAAAAAAAAAAAACACACTTTGAGATGCCTTGAAAACAAAGCCCTAAAGTATTAGTAAACAATGCCACTTGACAACAAGCAATTGTATTTCCCATCTTTACAGGCTCTTTGATCCAAAGATCTTAAACAGCTTGACGAACGTAAATATATTAATCCCCAAATATCCACATGAAGTAGCTACACATTGTCTTTCTCAACTCAGCCACAGAAGGGTTTTGCAGCTTCCAGAAGATCTCATGGGAAATCCATGGTGATGCTAGGAACCAAATACTTGTTTCCCAGCCTAGCACACCAGTCACAAGCTGAAATAAAAGCCAACTCCTTTCCTCCTTTATTCCACAAGGATAAAAGGAACCATAAAGGTTTCCAGATACAAGGATGATGTGCCCTCCAAGCTACATTTGTACACTTCCAACCACAAAACTCAACATACAACCCAAGCCGGTCTCTATGTGATGGTGAGAGGTTTACGCCTCCAGTATATCCATGGCCCATCTGATACCAGGGATCTTTCAGCAACTCCCTTTCCTCCAGGCCCCATTATAAAAACACCAAAATACCCTCCCCCAAACCAAAAAATCTCATCCAACGTTCTGCTGTTTTTTTCCATAAAACTTCCCCATGGTACATGCACACCAAGTTTTCTTATGGAAAATAAGATTATATTGACATTTCTCAGAATACCATTTGACTATATCAAGGCTTCCCTGTCTGTCAGGAAGCAATCCAACACATTGACTTCCATGAATCCTTCCATTATTGTCAGTTGTCTCATTTATGTATCACTGGACAGATTCTCAGATTCCAGTTTCTGCAAATCTGCAGGGATTACTTTGATATCAGACCCTCCCTGGTGTGCCAGAGTTGTGGACTAATTGCCAAACTCCCAAGACAGACGTGTGCTTATTCTTGAATAATAGCTTGCACAATTAGCACAGCTTTAGGGTTTGGATCACTTGAGATATCTTCCTTCCCTGAGATTGGAGAAACGGTTTCGCCCTGGGCTCATATTGCACCATACATTTGTGCAATGCAATAAATTCTCACTGCCACCAGCTTCTCCTCTTACAAGAGGAGGAAAATGAGGAGAAGAAGCGTGAACCTCTAAGGTGCACTGCCTCATTCTTACCCTTGGCTTGATACCACTAGTCAGGTGGAGGAGAGTGGAGGAAGGATGGGACAATGTTAAAGACAACATTTGATAGAAGAGATAAGCCAGCCAGAACGGCAGAGTCAGCAGAGCTCAGCAATTTTAGCCTGCCCTAAAAACAGCTTCAAGAGGTATTAAGTTTGCTTACAGTGGTCTGTCCACAGAAGCCTGCAGCAGGCTCTGCTCTGTCAAACACTGGACTATGGCAGAAGGCCAGTGCTGACCAAAAAACTTCTGATGCCAGGATTCTGATTTTGGAAAAGAGCTGTGGTGAGCTCTCCTCTCAAGCCTGTTCTGTACTAAACCTGAGCAGATTGGTGACATGGGAGGCAGAAGGTTTCTAGCAGCTTTTGGCAGAATGCTGAGGCCAAGGGCCCTCCCTCCTCCTGCCATGTGCTTAGATGACTCCTGTTAACTGCCAAAAAAATGACAAAATGAGGTTTATAGGCAATATTAGCTATTTGGAGCTATGGTTTTGCCCAGTCCTTGGGCAATTTGGATCATTTCCTCTGGAAGGTTAACACAAGCTATACAAAGGGCAAAGAGAGTTGGTAATACTACTTTACTTTTTACAGTTCCCACTACAGAATACAAAACCTCTGAGCCACATGATTCAGAAAGTATATTTTTGCTCTTAATTCCTATGCTTTGGGGTGTTTTTTTAGTAGCTAGTCTGTATCAATTGAACACACGAGGGCTGAGGAAAACCCTGCTTAAAATCACAAAAAATTTAATGTGTGAGAATTCACTCATACAACCTGGTGTATTTGTCAAACAGCAATACTGTACAAATGCAGCTAACCTTAACTCTTGTGTTATGCTGGAAATAAGACATTAAGAATTACGAACAGCAATTTACAAATCCATTCAAGATATTTCTCTACCCCAAATGAGAACACATTTCTAGCATCATGGGTCTGTTTCCTGGACATGAGACTTTACAGCATTGATCTACGAAAATTCGATGCATATCAGTTCCAAGGATGCCCCCTAAACAGCCCAAACCAAAGCCGAACACCCCTTCCCCAAAATAACAGCTCATGTTCTACTCTGCAGTAAAGAATCTCTGGACAGATGCAAATATTTCTCGATTCAGCTTTAAACTTTCTGGAATTCAGCTTTTTGCCTTTCACATAATCACTTGACTGCTTGCTCTAAGAAGGACAGCTTTCACTTACAGACTTACCCTGTGGTATCATGGAGTCAACATTTACATTTATTTTCTGGATAAAAAGCATAAAAAATTTAACACCCTGGAAAAACTAGAAGCAGCTGAGTATTGTAATACAGCATGATCTCCTATCATGCTTTCTCCTAAAGCAATAGGCAAATGTTTTCCATCCTGCAATTGACCACCAAATCATTTGTTTTGCATGGCTTTTTTTTCTACTTCAGTATCTGCAATAAATACTCCAAAGGGAGATTAGAGCCTGGCTGTTTATCTCCTTGTAAACACGTTTTTTTGTTGTTATGCCCCTACATGATAATCTTACTTAATCATTTTTACTGGTTTTCCTGTAAGGAGCAAAGATGTTTTGCTTTTTGCTATGAAACAAGATACATCAAAGCCCATCTGTGAAATACACAGCACGATTGTATTAATTCATTAATACACTTCTCTCTTCTTTGAGCAGCTCCCTATCTTCACAGTCTCTCATTGAGCTCCTTATTTAATCTCCTAAATAAGTGACCTAATTGTTGGCTTGAAGTCAAGAGGAGCTGATGGCTGCTCACTACTTCGAAAAACAGGTGTCTTTTTCCAGGATCCTATGTGCAGACAGCCATCTAAATACAGAACTTAAAAAGAGTGTTTTTTAAATTCTTTAACGTTTAAATGTGTGCCAGCTCGAGTTTTTTAAGTGCAGCCATTTGGTGGAAAATATTCCTCCTGAGCTTCTGCAGGGCAAAGTGAGAGCAGAGGGTGAAAAGGCAACAGATAATGACGGGATTTTATCTGGGCGATTTAGAACTCCTTTGTCTCTGCTAATTTCAGAAGCTGGAAAATTAAGTAAGTCATCAAAATCTTGTGCTTTTTCTCCCCCTCGCTTTTGACCTCAGAACATAATTGCCTCTTGTCATGCCTGCAGGGCATGGGCTTGTAGTTATCACTGTGTGCTTAATCAAATGCCGAAATAGCCTTTAAATTATGTGTTTCCTTGGCTGCTAGAGACTTGTTGAGCTCTGTTACATTTAGAGGCATGATGGTAGTAGATGTACTTTTAAAAGAAAAGTGTGGGTTGATGCTTTTAATTAGGTTTTATATGCAATTTTCCCAGCAAAATCATGTTCTGGCTCAGAATTTTCAGAGCGAAAATTCAGCCCACATTTAAGGGCCATGAAACAAAAGCTGGAATTGTAGAGATAATTATTTTCACAAGCTCTGTATATGATTTGGTCTGCCCAGCTAAGTATCTGACTTACTGTTCCCGAGTGCAAACAGAGCATGCTGGGGGGAAGAAGTTTCCTAGTAATTTCGAAGAATGCTTCTGTGTTTGTAGTTTTGCAGTATTTAATACTCCCACAGTTCACCTTGGCTCTGTGGGGGGAAAAAAAAAGTAATAATAAAAAAGTTCCCCTCCTCCTATTCGCAAGCCTACTCAGGTGTGGGTAGGAGAGGAAATCCCTTTCAGTCAAGGAGTCAATGGGCTTTGTAGGGCTCACTCCACATTCTGAAGTGCTTTTCTAAACCAGGGCCTTACTTTTCCCTACTAGGATATAAAGTCTCCTTAGTGTATAAATTGTTTGCACTGAGACATTGCTCAGTATTTCTTCTCTGTCTCTCTTTACCTTAATCCAAATTATGCCTGGCCTCTGATCTCAAGAGCAATATTAGTAGAAAGCAAAACCTTGAGTTAAAGATGGTGACAACAAACATTTCTCAAGCATCCAATACCCCCAGTTCACAGTATTTTCACAAATATCAACAAAGTTCTGACAAGCTTAAAATACCTTGGTTGGTCCAAAGTTCTCTGAAATCTTATGATTAATATACAAATACGGAAATACCATTCTTTCTCCCACACTTTCTCTACAGATGCTGACAATTAAAAAAAAAAAAAAAGAAAAAACA